TTTTAGAAATACTTGAGTGCAGGACCATCCCCGGTGGTCATAAAGCTTTATTTGTGATTCCATTGTAAGGATGGGGAACAATATCCACATTTTCTTTTAGTGCAAAAAGACATTCCAACATTCAGCTGCTGCTAATATGACGCTTCAGCAGTCAGAGTTAGTCAAATCAAGAAGATATTTTTCAAAGTCATTGTATTCCCCCCCCCCACACACACAGTTTCAGCGCCGAGCTACAGCAGAGGGATAGTAAAAGAAATAGAAATGATGCTGAAAAGACTTTAACTTTGGAAACTTCTCTCTTTCATGCAAATCCATGAGGGAAAGAGGCACAATTCACTATTAATACACACGGTGCACCCTGAGACACACACACGCACATCTTAAAGGGCAGAATGTGTCATTAATTAGGCACAATGGGTTTAGTAAATAAATATGGCCCTCGCTGTGTTGCTCAAAGGCACTTCAGATGAGGAACTGAATTAAGTAGAATTCTAGACATCCTGCTGCTGTCTCATTAAGCAGAAATATGATTAATACAATCTTTAAAAGTACACAACTACAAGCATGCAACATACACAAATCAGCAGACATCTGCTTTTCTGAGAGTGCAAGTGAAAGATCAGCTGACCAGCAGCCCCTCCCCAGATGCTGGCTGTGGTCTATACTTACACACCTGTCAAAGGTCATGTCCAACATACTAATTAAACACATGGCAGCACAACAGAGAACACGAGAACCACCCATCACTTATGTTTGTGTGCATGTGTGTGTGTATGTGTTACATTAAACAGCTACTAGTGTCCAAATCTCATTTCATGGGCTAATTCATATCTCACCAAGCATGTAAAACAGACAGCACAGCATCTTCCACCCTTACAGACTTCACAGGATAAGCATTCATACATGCACAATAATGTTTACACCATAGCGAGCAAGTACAATGACTAAAGAATGAGATCTCATTCAAGCCTTAAACAAAGATTTAATTTGTCTCTGTCTTGGTCTTGGTCTCTGAATTCTAAACATAAATGTATCCCTGCTCTGCAGCTTTTTGTTTTGGGCACAGAGAGAAACTGCTGCGCAACACAAAAAAACTACAATAAAATAGAATACTGTATGTGAGCGTCTGTTTATCTTTGCACAGACTCCTCCACCAGGCACACACAGTGCTAAGGGGAACCAGATGGGCACTCCCTCCTGACAGCCCAAACCCCAGCGATGACAGACCCTCTCAAGCATATAGCTGCATGACACTAGAGGACAAAGCACCTGTTCCCCTGCTGCTCTTTCACACCCCCCCCTTCCCCACAGAAACACACACTGGTGCTTTCTAAGCCATGAGGTCATTGGCTCCCTCAAGCCAAAACTGGCTCTGCCACCTGCAACACTCCCTGCCCAAAATGATCACCCGAAACCCTGCCTGCCCTGACACCCCTCTCATCCCACCCACCCTATAATGCCCCAACCTCAGCTGGCAGAAAGGCTGGTCCCATAATTATACTCTATATCAGGAGCATCCCCTTACATATGATTACTATGAGCTCATCTGGGACTGGCTCATATACAAGTGCTGAGACAAATAAGAAAGACTGAGTTTGGAGATCATAAAAGTAACCAAAACAGTGTTACTCCAAATACTTTAGGGGACAGAGAGAAAATGAGGTGGACAGCCCCAGACAGCTGGTGTGAGTGTGCAACATACTGAGGTTGCCGAGTGTGAATGGCATCCACAGATGTTCTTCCCGTGTCCTGCATGAGCGGAC